TATTCATGGGGCTTTGTGCTGTTTAATTTATAATAAGAAAACAAACAAAATCATCGGTGTACATACATAGTTCAGACTCTATATATACCTCGATTTAAAGGGTTAGGGAGACACAAGAAAACCATAGACAAACACACTAATCTCAAAATCATGTTGATTAGTAAGTGTTCATCTTTATTTGTAAGTCTTTATCTCATGGGCCTCATATTTTGTAAGTCTCCTCTACTCTCTTTTTCTCTCGTTCTAACTCTTCCTAATTTGTTTTAATTCTTGCTGTATCGGTCGCTAGCCATCCCATACATCCAAAGTCATGGGTGATTGAATTTGTAATGGCCTATCCTACTGAACAAATAAGTATTTTCTCTATCTAAAAAAAATTTATATTAAGTTTGATATTCGCATTTGCGATTCGTGGTAATTATTTATATTTGCAGTTTTACGGGATACGACAGCATTTTATGAATGGAACGGTGGATACGGAGCAGTAATGTCAGATTGTGGATCCGACAGTGATTGTCCCTTTCCGGGGAGTATTTGTGACGCTAAGAATACACATGAATGTTGTTTACCACTTGGTGGTCACGGATGTGAAGCTGTTAAAGAGTGTTGTGATTGGAATTTCCCATTTTACCCTCCGCAACCTCGACAATGTATAAACATGCGATGTTGCACCCTCGTTGGCGGGGAATGCCGAGGAAATGATGATTGTTGTGGCACCGACAATGTTTGTAATGATGCCGGCCGATGTTGCATTTTAGAGGGCGGCGTTTGCCAAAATGACGGAGATTGTTGTGGTGGCGACAACTATCATTGTATCAACGACGTGTGTTACTTTAGTCCCATATAGTCGCTGAAACTGCGACAAGTCTTTGGTATTTGCATAAATTGTTTTATGTATAAGGGCATGGACGCATCTTTTGTTATTAAATGCATGTTTATTATACTATGTATAATTTAAGTTCGATACAATTATATATAAATCGTGTAATAATGTATCCCACACAATGTAATCATGCGTTCTCTTCTTGTAATATATACTTTTTATTAGTTGCGTTATACTCTCTCCCAAAAAAAAATTGAATTTTGAGATTTACAATTAAATCATGAATCTCAAAATTTAATGTGTTTGTTTTCCTCAATAAAAGATGAGGGTTTAGGAGGACCATATAGTAATTTCCACAACAGTTTTTGCATAGGTTTAAAATTCTAATTTGAGATGCAAGAGTACTATTCAACTCCCCATTTTTATATTACTCCCTCTAATTGGTTCCAGGAAAATAGTTCACATTATAATTTGTGAATGTATATTTCTCTACTATAATTTACAATTTATGATGTAAAGTATTTTTATTTAGTTATTAACTTTTTTTAGAACAAAGGAAATACATGGAGTATTGGTGCACACAGGGGATCATTTCTTTATAAACAAAAGAGTTTTTTTTTTTTTTTTTGTGAGTCATTGATATTGGGACGTCTATGAAAATCACAAACTTCTAAATGATGACTGTCCAATAACTAACCATGCACATTTTAGAAAACATGGAGTAAAAATTTACGAGCTTATAATTTTCCTTTATACCAAAAAAATTACGAGCTTATAATTAGTACACGCATCCAGGGGCCGAACTTTAGATAAATGGGTGGAGCCTTCCTAATCATTAGGACACTCTAGTTAGTCAACGCCTCATCAAATGGAGGAATGACATCCTAAGTTTGGGAAAAGAGGCATCATAGTGTACACAATGTATCAGATATCGTAAACAATGAACAAATTTGTGTTACAGAAAGAGCCCGTTGACGAGTCCAAGGTAGTTAGTTATCCTCCATCCAAAGATCCGTTTTGGTTTGTTTAGAAAGGTACTTAAATTGGCGAAAATACAACAAGGTACGAAATGTTTAATCTTAATCCATTAGCCATCAATAAGAGGAGCTAGCTAGGTTCCAGTTTTATTTTCAGTGCTTTGAGATTTTGTGTAGATTGAACAAGAAAATCTTCCAAATGCTAATAAACATAACCTTTTGAATAAAAAAAAATACTCTCTTCGTCACAGAAAAAAAATCTATATTGAATTATAAAATTTATATTAAAAATAATACAAATATTAAAAAAATTCAGAAATACCATCATTTTTTATTTTCTCGTTTCTTTTTCTTTTTTTTTTTCTGTCTTTGATGTACAACACGTACTAAACCGAATTCAAATTGAGAAAGGCTAGCTCAAACTATATTTATTTATCCCTTTTACCCTATTAAAGCAGAAAACAGGATGCTGATGTGGCATTTTTTTATTAAAATGTTTTGGCTCCAAATGCACCATATTGCATTAATCATTCTGCCACGTGTCACCTCCTTTTAAAAATAAAAAATATATTTACAATATTAACGAAGAGATCAGATGGTCACGTTCATTCAAATTTTGAATTTGACACTGTATGAAATTTTCCTTCTCCATTTATTTAGGACTTCCGAAAAATTAATTTCTGGTCAATCAATTATCTTCATCAAAAACTAAATTCATTCCTAATCAGTTTTGATTATTTACATATCGATTTATTAGGTGGGACGCCCCCGGACATTTGTCCGGGACAAGCATCTAATTTACATTATAAAATAAACGTCGCTGATGCTAATGAACGTCTTAACTTGCAACTCTCGGTTACTAAAAATATTTTGGAGTACATGCTCTTTATCTTATGTAACTTCTACATATGCTGAATTTTATAGTGATTTTATAGTAACTTCTTAATTAACTTAACTTGAACTGATTGAACTCTTTTATTAAACTTATTCACGTGTTTTTTGAATGAGCTAGTTGGATAGACCAAACTAATTAATTAGGTTATACTACCCTTTCTTACTCTTCGTTCTTTTCTCCTTTTTTCTTTTGATAATTGAATTAAGTGTCAATATCAGAGTGGAGCGGACCAACTTGATCGTTAGATGACAAATAATGTGTATGAAATGTGCGTAACAGATCATCTTGATGCCCTATTAATTAAAGAAGTTCAACAATTAATAACATGTAAAACTGACAATATTTTACTCCCTTTATTCTAAAATAAATGTCATTTTAGAAAAAAAATAATTTCAAAATAAGTGTCGTTTTATGATTCCAATTCATTTTTTGTCTAAAATTTCAAAACATACCCTCACCAGTATTTTTTATAATTATTTATTTTAATGAGTTGGTTGAGAATATTCTAGTAATTTAGTTACCTTATTTAAGTGTTTCTTAAACTGTATGCAAATTGTAGAATGACACTTATTTTGAAATGGAGGAACTAATATTAATCTAGATTATACAATGTTGAGTGTCGTTGTTGTACTCGTTCTTTGTTAATATAAATAGAGGCACAGTTGGAAATGTGATGCATTAAAAAGTAAAGAGAATAACTGAAGTAAGTGAAGAGTCGAAATTCTGATTTTGAGGAATAATTGAAGTCTTGTATATGATTTCGTTGAAGGCATCAAGTACAGGGGATTTAAAGAGCCACTAAAGAATGAAGAGTTTGAAACATTAAATTTAGAACTGCTAAAGAGGAAGAGGGAGTAAAAGAAACCAAACTCCAAAGTCCGCTCCTAGTAAATGAAAACAAGATTTTTATAGAATGATGATAAGTTTTCAAAAGAAATTTAAGGAAAAAAGTAGTACAGTTTCATTTTATTTTTATTTTTTTTGAAAATCCATTCAACTTTTCCGTTTAATGCCTTTCAAAAATTTGTACTCCCTTTTGAAAAAAGAAAATAAAATAAAAATGTACTCCTTAAACCGGAGAGCAGAATGATACTCTCTACGTTGTGAAATAAGTATCATTTTAGCAAAACGGATAAATTATAAAATAAGTGTCACTTTCTGATTTAAATGCAATTTTGATTTAAATAGTTCAAAATTGTCCTCAAAAGAAAATAATATTAATGACTTATTTGTGATAATAGGGCTCGTTTGAGGATATAATTACAAGTAATTTACCCATCTTAATTAAGTATTCCCTCTGGTCCTTATTATAAGGCATTTTGATTTTGTCATAAGTTTCATCTATAATGTCTTTTTAATTGATAAATAACCTTAAAAATATTTCATAACAATCTAGAGAACATGACTTGGGTAAAAATATATTTTTAAGATTCTTTTGTCAAGTAAAAATGCATACTAGATGAAATGTAGGACAAATCAAAATGTCTTATATTAAGGACCGGATGGAGTATATCTTAAAATGTGTATAAGTTGTCTGGTTACTCTTCTTTGATGACAATAAACTGTTTATAAATTACTCAATTGACAATAAATTTATCTATCTTGATTAAGTATATCTTAAACTGTGTATACATGCCTATTGGGTAATTTACTGACATCAAAATTAAATATGGAGATGGATCGATAAATATAATAGTGACATTGAAAAATCAAAACATAGTTCCTATTGTTTTGAAAATTTGAAAAGCTACGGATAAAGAAAATGAACAAAACATTCAAAAAATAACATTAGAAATGGAGGTGATCGTATGATGATGAGCTTTGCTTTTTAGATTTTACTTTCATATTCTTTTTACTTATTTGTTTTTTTGGTTTTCCTTTTCTGAACTACTTCCTCCATGTCAAATTATAGGTCGTTTTAGGTTTGAAGAGATCTTTCAAAATGTAGGTCGTTTTACAAATTTTAGACAAATTAATGACTATTTTTCCAACTTTACCCTCAATAAATTATTCTAATTTATTTTCATTTAGTCTTGTTTATAGTTCCGATATAATTAATGGGGGGTAAAACAGATATTTAATACATAAATTAATTGTTAGATACTTATTTTCTTAGTTTACGTGCCAAGTTGAAAGTGACTTACATTTTAATGGAGGGAGTACTAAATATTAGCCATAAGTTACTTTCCACATTTTCAAGAACTATTTTCAACTTTTCATACGTAGTAATGTCCTGCGCAGTATCTAAGCATACGGAGAGACTTTTGAATTTTGATAACCTAAACGAGCATTGAACTTCGCATCCGATTCTTTGAACTTTGGCACCTGCTAAATTAAACTGCTAGTGCTAGTAATTTGAGAAGGCTAAACAAACGCTTATAAATATTTTTGAGGCCATTAAGTTTTCATCTCAATATTAATCAAACTCCTCTGTTGTGGCTGTTTAACAAGGCTGGCTACGTCTTCTCAAGGTATCCAACAATAATGAATGGGATCTTCCGAGTACTGATGAAACAATTAGTACTTAATTCGGCGATGGATCCTAACGGAAAAGTTAACCATGAGCTGGAATCGTCAGCGGAAGTACTCCTCAACACCGATATTCTTCGGGAGGTACCGTTTCCTTTTCCGTTTATACTAGCTACTTCTTACTTGCTGAACTTTTCACATTATTTTTATTGGGTTCAAACAATCTTTATTCTTAATCACGTTGCACATTCATCAGTAGGGACCAAATATATGTTGAATGGAGAGAATTCAGTTTAATTAGAGAGAAGGGAAATGGTATAATGAATCGAACTTCTCTTTCTTAATGTAAAACAATTTGTTTCTTTCTGTGATGATCCTAGCTAGTTTAGTTTGTTATTTCGCTTTCTAGCTTCTCTTATACGAGAACTAATTCTATGTTTAAAAATGCAAAGGTACTATTAAGAGCTGATGCGAAAACTATATGTACTTGTGGATGCGTCTGCAAAATATGGAATGAAACCATTGCTGACCCTTTCTTCGTAAACAAGCACCGAGACCAATCTAGCAAGGCAGAGTGTCTTCTCTTTCTGGTAAGTGTCCACGAGGATTATGGATATTGCCATAAATACACCACAGTTGATTACAAGAAACTGGATATGGAAGCCATTGTTGTGGCCGTTTTCGGAGTAGCCAATGTGTACAACGATCATGACTACATTGCATTCGGTGGCGATTTGGTTTGTATTGTGAAGGATTCTGTTTCCTTCGACGAGACCATTGTCTTGTGGTTGTGCAATCCTCAGACGGGCCAGACTCGTGCTTTGCCCGAACCATTTGATTATACAGATGATTACTGTGTAAGGACAAACGAAGGATGCGTATTTGGATATGTTTCTTCTAAGAGGGAGTACGTAGTTTTGATGATGGGTTTGTTTTGCTACGATGATGATGCCGATTATTATCGTTATTATCGTGATTACTATGAAGATGATGAATCTGATTTATTAATGCGAGCTAAGAAATTCGTCTTTAGCCTTGACAAGGACAATATAGATTTTGCATACTGGGAAGAAATTCAGGGTAATTCTCCTTGCCATGTTGGTGAAGACGGCATTCTGGTTGGCAATTCTGCATATTGGGTAGCTGTGGAGAGAGATGGAAGGCAAATTGTTACACTGGATCGAGAGGAAGACAAATTTGGGCTCGTCGCGAAACCCGCTGACTGGAATCCGGCATCTACACCTTGTTTGGTTGGTCTCAAAGGTAAGTTATTTGTGACTATGGAATTACTTCGAAATCCAGTGTAATAGTGTTGTGGTCACTGATCAAATCTAGTGGTGATTCCGATTGGGAAAAGGAGTATGAAATCAGTTTGGATTTTCCGGTTAGAGTAGTACCCGGATCATCAAGTGGTGGAGAACTAATAATTAAGTCGCAGCCGGACATTGCCGGAAAATTTGTGGAGTACTATGTTCTTAATCCTGAGACTGAAAGTGTAAGGTTTGTGTATTCGGGTGAGATCCGAATGTACTCTGCCAAAGTGGGCTTTTACTGGAGGAGTTTCTTTGCCATTTGAATTGGCAAGATGCACCACAGGATGTTCGAAGAAAAACACAAATACACATTTTGAACTCAGGAAGTTGAAACTGCACCACTATCACTGAAACATTATTGAGTACAACTACTGAATAGATTCCTGTTTTGTTACTAAATTTGTCGTATTGTATGATTACTTTTACCCATCGTAGTGTACTTTTACTATTCTCTTCGCTCATGAATCCTTTTAGCAAGATAGAGAAATGTTAAAATAATTATCATTTTATGTTTCTAATATTGTCTAAAACTTCCAAACCCGAAAACCGAAAATAAACAGTATTACAATTTTAGAATGGAGGAAGCATTTTGTGCTAACAATAATTAGACCATGAACAGTTCAAATGAATTCCGGTGGTTTCATACCGTTAGTAATTAATTAAAGTGGCTGGAAACCAGGACCCAGTACATGAAATGCATAAATGAAATCCATTTTCTTACTTAGCTATAGAGGTGAAATTGCCTACACTTGACCAAAACGGTTGATACATATATATGATAGATTAAATTAGTATAAGCGCATCTTTGAATATAGAATAGGATAAAAGTGGTCTGCCTGTAGAGCCCTACTGGTAGAGGCTGTAAGAGAGCTTAGTTTCCATTGTTTAGCTTATCAATCAATACATTTATTTCTTTGATCATCTGCAGCAATTGAACGAGCTGAGAAAATCAATAGTATGTTAAACCACAAAATAAGAAAATGCGACACAATATTAGACACAACTAGTGATCAAAATCAAACATCGAAAGACTATATTTAACTCACATTAGAGACGTCTCTCCATCGATTTAGGATGTTTAAAACTTCCCCAGATTCAAGTGTTCTCCGGGCTAAAGCTACACCATCAGCAAGGCTACTAACTCGGCCACATACAAACAACGCTGCTGCCGAATTTAAGACCTGAAAAGATTGATGCTTAACATCATGTCGGTTCATTTTGGTGCATGATCAAAAAAGATGAAATTGCATATGATGAAATGAAAAGGAGGCACATTAGGGGGAAATGAGGTAATTTACGCAAAGAAAAGGTAGATCGATCACAAACGCATCTGCAGTTGGACCCCGATAACCGGATAGCATTCTCTTCAGTACTGCAGCATTATGATTTGGAGTGCCCCCTCTCAATTTTTCGATTGGATAGTGAGGTATTCCAAAATCCACTGTTATGAAATTTACAGGAAACACAAGTATAATGTTTTTGCTTCATTTTTACACCCCTTTTAGATAAGGGGAAACAGACATGAGGCAAATTGGTGCTATTCTTGATTATTTTCTTACATGGATCGAAAGAGAATTGATCGATCTTTTCAGGTGTAACATCCAAAACCTGTGCTGGTCCTGCAAATTCGCCATTGTAACTCACTGGAATTGGAGAGCATTTGATACTCTTAGATGTAAAAACAAAAAGTAATGAACCGGTCTGAATGTGTAATATATTCTGCTTTAAGAAAGAAGAGCAAATAAACTAATTAATTACCAAGAGGGCTGATTTCGTCGAAGCCCTGATCAGAGCGGAAAACTAATGCTCTTCTGATGCCATTTTTTTGCAGTGCACTTTCCATCTTTTTCACCTTTTCAAAGTCAGCGAGTTGATTAGGTCGATATTTAGCACGAAGCTTACTAGTTATATCCTGAAATTAACACTAACTTCTCATTTCACTTGTGTCACAAAATGATTGTACAGTTTAGGTTTTCATTTTCTCTATAAGTTGTACTAAAAATATGAAATCCATAACTGGAGAATGATATATTTATATCCGGGAATCTAGTTTTATTCGCAGCATTTCTCGTTCATTCAATTGCAGCAGAAGGATCATACCATGTCTTCTTTGCGCACACTAACAACCGCGAAAGATATTTGTGCAGGATTCAGCAATGGAGCTAGAGTATCAAATATTGTCCTGATTTTGAGTTTTTTCCTCACAGGTTCCAGGATCTTCATCGCAGGATGATACGTATGAGACATCAGGTGTCCAATTCCTACTGGTTCCACGCACTCTTTCACTCCCTAAACATTTTCATAGAACTAGAGGTTACAGACATTCATACAAATTGCTTCCAAATTTAGTAAAGTTACTCAGGTTGTCCTAATGGCAACGAATTTGATCACAAACCTCTGCTGGCAAGTCAGTCGCAACTCCTAAAGCTTCCAAACCATCAGCACTTCCCCAACCGGAAGAATAAATGGATCCGGTACCTTGCTGTAAAGAACAAAAAAAAGACTAATTAAGGATGAATAAAACGAGATCTCTCCATCTTAGTATACAGTATAATCATGTGTACATAAGTTTATTCTTGGCAAGTTGAAAGACATAAGTCCTACGCTACAAACTAATCATGCTCTGAGCATATAAGAGTCGATGTGAATCATAAAAGGGCAACGTATCACTGTTTATCCATTTGTTTTGAACAATACTGCTCCCTCCGTCCCAAAATATAATTTGAACTAAAAATAAAAATCTAAACTGGACAATAACTTTGGGACGGAGGGAGCATATTATTAGGGACAAATTAATACTCCCTCTGTCCCCAAAAAAAAAAAAAACCTCATTGTAGTAGAAACCTCAAACTCCATTTGGACTCTTTTTTTTTCTGGACAAAGGGAATATATAAAACATACCATAACAACTTTAGCACCACAAGCAGCAGCTAGAATCGCCACCCCGGTTGAAATATATGCGTGTTAGCTCCATTGCTATAGTCTTCAGCTCCATCTATATCCACAACATGATCCCCTAATCCCTCTACCTTCTCACACCGCCTCATCATCGCTCTTGCAAATCCGGCCATCTGCACCCAATTTTCAAAGTCACTCGCGTATCTTACTGAATGATTCATGGACCATCAATGAACAATAATAAAATAAAGAGCTAGTTACCTCTTCAGCGGTTTCGCCTTTAGCTCTAAAGAGGACAAGAAAAGCACTGATCAAAGCTTCACTTCCATAGTTGAGCAACATGTTAAGGGAAGCCTCTGCCTGTTCTACACTCAGGTCTTTCTTAGCCGACAAATGACCAATTAACTTATCCAATGCAGTAGAGAAAAGGGACAAAAACACGCACAAAAAACAAAAAAAAAAAAAAGAAAAGTTAAAAAGTCTCATAAGTAACATAATTCAAAATGATTGACTTAAGTTTTCGCCCTGATTTTACTTGTGGGGGTGATGAAATGGGAAGATGGTTCAGCTCAATGGGAGACCGAGAGCAGCTGCAATGCCAAACAGAAGCTGAAAATTTGTTCCACAGCAAATTTGTTTTGTGAAAGTTCAACTTGGTTGAACCTAAGTTGTTTAGGGAGAAAAAGGTTCCAAGTTGAACCGTAGATATCTCATCATTAGGCCAATAGATGAGACCTTGATTTTGGCGTTAGACTCGAAACTAATCAAACCACACCAAATACACTGAAATATTGACTACAGAATTCAAAGAAACTGAAGCCCCTATTACTTAAACTTACCAAGCTACAAGAATGATGTACTACTAAAAGGGTCAAAGAAAATTGATTTTATTGAAACATCGATCGCATCATGATGACGATAAAGGAGAGTTTTATCTTTCTCCCATAATGGAGTTTGTTCTTAGGTCCTTATATCCTTACAAGTTTAAATTAAGAATTCTGTTCTCGCCCCAACTTTTTTTTTTTGGGGGCCACCTTTTGGCAGGGGGGTCTGTTATAGAGTCAGTTTCACTAATTAATTAATTTGGACATATTAGTAGGTGTCAAATCTCATGTTTAGAAAAAGTGCACCCAAACTCGTGCCCGAATTTTATTTTATTTTTTTTCAAAATAGAAAAAGAAGCATCATATAGAGTAACGCATCATTACAAATTTACAATCGTCGAACAATTTCCATGTTAGTAGGCACCATGTAAAACTTATTCTCAATATTTATAGATACGGCACCTTTTTTTTCTGAGTAGCATATATGTGGCAATTGTTCATTGAGATTGTTTTTTCAGGCCAGTTATCTTACAATAACCTTGGAATAATTGAGCAGAGAGATGCTTCTAATTCGTCATGATTGTGTCATTTTTGCGTGGAAATCTTCTTGATTCGAAGCGTCGATGAGATTACTGATCCCCAAGCAAAAAAGCACATCAACGGAAACATTAAAAAATGTTTGTGTCGACTTACAAATATGTTTATTAGGATATGAACTAAGTGTGTAAGAACAAATAAAAACTCATCTAAGGGATGACTTGTGAAGTCCTTTTAAATCCATAGTTAGGTTACAAAATGCACTGAGGATGTCATGAATTTCTTTTACGATCAAACAGTTACAAAATTAGGCGGACAAGTAGACACAATAGGGCAAATTATCTGGTACACCCGGAGGTACCGTATACCCCCTGCGCGTGTACTTTACTCTCTTAGAATAACATGAGTCCGCTAGATAATTCAACTTTCTTTTTCTTTTTTTTTTTAAATGGCATATATAAATTGCCGAATTCATTCAAATTTTAAAAACTTTGTGATGGAGTATTATTGTTGGGTGACGGCCGGCGGCGATCGAGGCGTTGAGGCGGTAATGGGAGTCGGCAATCGAGGCGTTGAGGTGGACACGGCCGGCGGCGATCGAGTCATTGAGACGGCGACGGCGTTCAGCAATCGAGGAAAGGCTCCGATTCCACCAGAGTGGCGAAACGATGATTGGATCGACGATATGCTGAGTTCAGATCGAGTGATGAGTTATCTCGTTGAGGATTCTGGCTTGATGAATGCGGAATGTAGTGGTAGCAAATCCATCGAACAATCTTACTGTGCCAGCAAATCAACGCAAGGTCACAGTTCTGTTGTTGATCCGCTGCAATCAGGTTTGTGTAGGTTTCGAAGTGTACTGTTTGTGAGAGAAGAATCAATCTAGTTGTTTCATTTTATTTTCTTGATTTTTCTTTTGGTAGTTTTTGTTAATGTTGTATGAAGTGGATAAGCAGTTATGCTGTATTGGATATCGTTTGTTATTTAGACGGATATGCGGATATGCTTTTTGTTGATTGTGGTAAACATGGATAGACGATGCGAAGTACTGATTATGAAACTTTTTTTTTGTTTTACTGGTTTTCCTACTCGTTTTGTCCTGGTTTTCCAACTTGTATGAAATTTGTATGAATATCCAACTTGTTTGTACTGGATATCCAGCTTATGTGTACTGGTTATCCAACGGATTTACATGTCTATCCAAATTTTATTTGCTGGATATCCAACTGATTTGTACTAGATATCCAACATTTTTGAGTTGTTTATATTGAATTGGTGTATCAAAGATTTTTTTTTAATTTTTAATTTTTTTGTTTGTCTCATTTTTTTGTAAAAGATAACCATATCAATGAGTTGGGGGATTATGTGATACTGGATGATGCTTTGCGCATGGAAGTTACATCTGCTCTGAATGGTAGGTTTTCTAACTTGTTTATATGTGTTTAAATTTTTTTTTGATTTGTTTATCCATTGTGTTAATACTGATTATCCGAATGCTTGGTAATGGTTATCCAACCATCTCCTTTGTTTTTCTTAGAATGTGGAGAAGATAATAGCAACAATGAAATGGGAGTTGATAATGTGATGGTGGAGGAGGATGCCTTGCACAAGAAAATTTCATCTGTGACGAAGAATAATGATTTGGCTGTTTTTACTTTAGTTGGCAAGACTGCAAGAAGTGAGAAAGAAGCTTATGACTTGTATAATGATCATGGCCGATTGATTGGTTTTAGTATGAGAGTGGGAAAACAGAAGTTTAGAGGTAAGACTGATAAAGTTAGGATGAAAAAGTTCTGTTGTAACCGCGAAGGATACAAGAGATCTGGTGGGTGTCCAGCTTATATCCATTTTACTGTTGACAAAGATGGGTTGTGGTCCTGTACAAAGCATCTGGTTGATCACAATCATGATCTTTTGCCGAATGAAATGATTGGACTTCTTCGATCTCAACGTGAAGTAGATGAAAATGATATGAAGATAATCAGAGACATGACAAGGAGTGGTATCCCTTTAGTTGATGCATATAAGTTTGTGGCAAAATTACACGGGGGAAGTCCGAACATGAAGTATACTTTGAGAGATGCCTACAATTATGAGCGTCCTGGTGTTGGATTTGAAGATGGCGATTGTAATCAGCTGATGAAGACTTTTTGGGATAGGAAGGAAACTGAAGAAGATTTCTTCTTTGATTTTGACTGTGATGAGCAGGGTAGGCTGTGTACTTTCTTCTGGAGGGATGACATAATGCAAAAGGATTATGATTTGTTTGGTGACTTGCTTGTGTTTGATACACGTATCGAACAAACAGATATGGAATGATCTATGCTCCGTTTGTGGGTATGGATAATCATAACAAGAATGTCATGTTTGGTTGTGGTTTTGTATTAAACAAGAAAGAACCCTCTTTTGATTGGTTGTTCAAGCAGTTTTTGAAATCAATGGGAGATAAGCAGCCACAAACCATAATGACAGATTAAGCATCTTCCATTGCTGCGAGTATTCGGACATGTTTTCCAAGTTCTCGGCATCGTCTCTGTGTATGGCACATAGGTGAAAATTCAAGAAAGCAAATTGGTCATTTAAGGAACAAGCCAGATTTTGTTAAGAACTTTAATTATCTGATGAAATACACTTCAACAGAAATCAAGTTCGAGGTGTTATGGAGGAGCTCAGTTTGTCAATATTTTTATTATTATTTTGATCATTGCCATGATTAAGAGTGTCTCTTATTTTTTTTGTTGTGTGGGTATGTGTTAGTGGTCATGCATGATCTTCCTGATGATTACTTATAGGTAGATAAGTTATACAGCAATGATGGATAACCAGCAAATACTGTATGGACAAGCAGCCGCATAGAAGCACAACTAAAAAAAGGGATGGATAACTAGTTTACACATTGTGGATAACCAGCAATTATGGCTGGATAACTACTTTACACCTTGTGGATAACCAGCAATTATGGCTGGATAACTAGTAGAAAGCCTTTGTATAAGTATTAGGAAATTATTGCAGGGGTTTAAAGGGGTTACTGATGGATAGACAGTACCAGGTTTTGGATAATCAGTAAATGATTACTGGATAAGCAGTAGAAAGCCTCAGGATATACATGTTTCTTTGTAGATCTATATGGATAATCTAACTATTTTTCTTTTTTGCATGTGTTTTATATTGTTGTGCACAGATTATTGGATGAGTATGATTGTCTTGATGACAAATGGCTCAATGGTATTTATGATGTGAGGCATATGTGGTGCTCTGCATTTAGCAAAGATGTTTTCTCTGGTGGTACCTTGTCTTCACAGAGGAGCGAGTCAACAAATAATGCAATTTGTTGTAAAATGAAGGCCACATCATCGCTTTGTGATTTTCATGGAATTTTCTCTGATGTTGTACACTGTTGGCGGGTAGCTATGAAGGATGAATATCTACGCTGTAGCCAGGGAAACATCGATTCATATCATCCTGGTGACCCTTTCATGGAGAGCATTGCAGAGTGTACACAGTTGAAGCATTTAGGGAGGTTTAGCAGTTGCACAAAGATGGGATGTTGTGCAGGCAGTAGCAGTTAGAGGTCTCAAATGATGGCAATATTGAGATGTACAATGTTTGGCAGTTTGGGATAGAGCACTTTAAGCATGTGGTTGTACATGACACTAGGTTACAGAGATTCTCATGCACGTGCAGGTACTACTCTGAGGAGGGTATGCTTTGTTGCCACATTCTTTGAATCTGTCATGTAACCTCTGTTGATGAGTTTCCTAAAGATTATATATGTATGAGATGGACAAAAGGTTATGGTGCCAGGTCAAGCATAGCTAATAAGGGAGATGGAAAAGCTGTTGGGCCATTGCTGTGGAAGGCGCTAATAATGAGACGATTTTCAGACTTGGTGTATGCAAGTGAATATAACAAAGATGTAAAGAATTGTTGTGACGAGGCGGTTGACAGGCTTAAAGAAGAACTCAGGAGTTTCATTGGTTC